TAAGTCAGGAGTTGTTCTGGTTCCATTGTAGTGCAAATATGTAGCAGGATCCTCATTGCTGTAAATAGGTTCCAGAGGGTTGCTGTTTAGCATATCTTCGATTTTCTTTCCAGCTATGTTTGTATCCTTGTAGCCCCATCTGGTGGAATGGGCGTTGAAGTCTCCTAATACTACAGTTTTGTGTGAGATGTTCAGAAAATCAAAGTTAGGACTATTCTGGGGGTGGATTATACACTGCATATACCTTGAAGTGGTTTTGAAATTTCCAAACATTTGGTCTGATTATTTCGCATATGCTTGCGTCGAGCCCATACTCTTGATTAGATCGTAATGTGATGTGAGGCCTTCTTTTACTCCAGTCAGAATCCCACTTGCAACTTGCCGGTATTTAGGGTGCAACCTGGGAATTGGTAGTATTTCAGTTTGTCATCCGAAAGGTTTGCTTCCATAATTGTGAAAATGTCTACATCATAGATTTGTAGAATTTTCTGGACTTGGATCTTTTTGTTCTGTGATATCCCTCCAGCATTCCACTGGAGGATCTGTAGACGTTGTGATTCGCCCTGACGAGGGCGATTTCTCTTATGGCTTTGTTTCAAGCTAATCATAATAAATAGAAGTCAAAATGCCAAGTGATGGACTTTTTTTCCGTATGAAGATACGTTGCTCAGGGTGCACCACATGGAGGTAAGTTTGTCGCGCACCCCATGGCGACTGAAACACAGCCCCTGAATGGTATTGGTCCACTAAAAACTTCCCGAGCCAGTTAGAGGAACCACCACAAGCGTAATGATTATTGTTCTACTGACGCATCGAGTCCACTCAAGAGAATATTACCGGCGAGGCCAAAGTTCCTGAATCACCTTAGCGAGAAAATAGAACTGTTGCTTCGCACCCGATCTATACAGCATGCCCTGACTGACACACCTCTGGAATATGACATTATCGATTCCGACACACAATCCCACAACAAAACAAGGATTTTAAACAGGTTTTATTATTTTTCACATTCCGATAGAAAGACAGCTGAAAAATTGTTGTAAAATTACAACTGTGAAGTAGTTGTAAAAATTATGAGAGAAATGCACACGGTCTATACAAAGTAAATTATTGAGAGCGATAGATGCGAATCGACCTTGCACATATAACTGACCCCCCAACTTACAACTCATTATCCTCCAAGTATTTGTACTCAAATATGAATTCATCATTCTTTAACTGCCTCATGATTGGGTAATCAAAGTATAGATACGCCCCAGACTCATATTCATCCGTGATTTGTTTGGGTTCTTCGTTGCGCTGGAACCAAAACAAATATTTGGTATGGAACCTCCATGACATTTTCTTTAAGGCTTTAGCAGCATGATATTGAGCTTTAGTGCCATCAAAGTAATAGAATATGAAAAAGAGAGTAGAGGCATCGAGACTAGAGAAATACTGTTCCGAATCCCCATTTCTTAATGGTTCCGAAGGATAATAGCTCGGAATTACGGCTGGTCGTTTGGTTATAAGCATCCTCGCCTTAGACAGATCCGTAGGTTGAGGCATGCGTCTGAAGGCACAATCCAAGCATTGTAAATGGTACTTCAACTACAAGGAAACAATGTGAATAAAAAACCGATATAGAGGTCATTTACTTTAAAGGAAATGTAACTACCTCTGGAGGAGTGAAACGACTTTGGTCAAGTTGTCGATTACGGAAAGGAGCCAATGCATCACGAGGATTAACACAAACCATTTGTCGAGGACCAATTTTATTCTCCTCGGAGGGTTGCTGTTGGGAAGATGATTCAGCGTTAGAAGTAGGGGCTACAGTAAAGAGAGGATTTTTGGATAAGTTGGATGCTGTGTTCGTTGGTGCTTCTGCAATAGTAGGAGCAATATTACGTGGAGATGATGATATTGATGTTGAAGGTAAAGTAGTTGGAGTGGCAGACGCGTCATGGGAAACTTTGAGATCTTCAGTTTTTTTCTTTTCACTTTTAGTCGATTTTGCCTCATGCTTGGCATCATGTTCGGTAGCCTGCTGGTTCTGTTGCTGCTGCGATTCCCTCTTTCCCTTCTCCTTTTTGGATTCTCCAGCCACTTTTGCGTAGTTCTCTCGATGAGCAGTCGTTTGTTGCTCAGACTGCTGCTGCACAGTAGGTTCAAGTTTGAGAGTTTCTTGCTGCTGCTGTTTCGCTGCAGCTCCCGCAAAGGATTTCTTATTCACAGTGGTAGTTAGATTGACAGAAGGAGGTGCTGTTTGATTTAGAGCAGAAAGAGAAGCTTTTGTCTTCTCCTTCTTTTCTTTAATCGGAGTGCTGGCGGATAATGCAGTAGGTGGTGGAACGATAGTTTTCTCCTCTTGGACAATAGTAGCCGACCTCTCACGAGATGAAGACGCATTTGACGACGCGGAGGAATGAGGAGGAATAGGCTGAATAATTGAAGGACTAGTGGTAGATTCTAGATTGTCAAGAGTACTTGGCTTGGTTGAGGCAACAGGAGTGGGAGTGGTATCAATATCAATAAGAGCAGGAGTAGAAATAGCACTCGGAGTCAAAATGCCTTTGTCACCAAGATCATCTAAATGTAGCTCGTCATAGAGGGATTTATAGTCGTCACCAGGATTTGCTTCATCAATGGACTCAATAGCGAAATCAATGGCCTCCCTCAGTTCTCGAACTTTCGTGGTTTCCAAACACTCATTGTCAAGAAGTCGTAGTACAGTTTCAAGTCGTTCAGTGTGAAAGAGAGTTATTTGAAGTTTAAGCTTTTTTTCTTCCACTTGAGCGTGTTTCTCTCGATCTGCACGCTTTTTTCTACCAGTAGAAGAAAGGGTTTCCAGTTCATATTCATAAGCTTCAGCTTTCTGGTTTAAAGTGGAAATAGACTGCTTGAGCCAATCGTCCAATTCCTCTTTCTCCTTTTGCAGTGGATCCTTTTTAATATCAGCGGAAAGAAGGCCTTCTTTAGAATAGGCTTTCGTCTTTGTCTCTTTTTCAATAACTTTAAAACGCTCCATATCTTGTTCTATTAGTCGACGGGCTTCTTCAAGCTGACGCTTGTCTTTAATTTCGTTAGAAGTAATCCATGTCTTAATCTGATCCCGAAACCTTTGAAGACGCTTAATTTCCTTTTTGAGGTCATTTTCATACTTTTCTTTTTGCGTTTGATTACTGGATGCTTCAAACTTATCGAGTATTTCCTAAACAGAAGAAAGAAGCATTGACGAGATCAGACATAAGATAAAGCACACGAAAAGTAATACTATAAAAATTATGCACATTAACTATTAGTTTCTATATTAGAGCAATAGCTAATGTACAAATTTTAAATAAACAAGAGTACAGAATGAAACTAAAACGTCACTAAGAATTATGAAATCAAGAGCTTCGGTACCTGGAAAGCAGCTCGACCTTCTTGAACTCTTTTCAGTGTCCTATCGATGTCACATTGTAGCCTTCTTCTGTCTCCCATTATAAAGCCAATAGGAATAAACGAAATAGCCGCATTTAATATAGCATATATGAAAAAATTTGGAGGCTATAAAAATCTTTGTAAAACTGGTCAGAAATTTTGGATGAAAACAGAATAAAGGTAAAATCAAAGAAAACATTTAATTTTAGAGATGATTAATAATTAAAAATATGAACATGTAAATTTATATCCCACCTGCTAGGAACATGCTATTGCGTGATTATAAGTTCCTTTATGCGATTCAATTAAATATCTGTTTATATAATAAAGCCATATATTTAATAATTTCATAATTTTTGTAGAACGGTTTTATTAACACATTTAAATATTTACTGTCTTTAAATAAGGGCATACTTAAAATAAATAATCCATAAATTAAATTTGACAAAGTCGTTGTCGTCATATTTATATAGTACATATGTGACAAATTGATGCATATTTCACCGACGGCATAAATCAATATAAAATCCTTTGCGCTTGATTCGTTTCGATTTTTTATGTTTAAAAAAGCCATTTAATGTTTATTTTATTATTGTAAAGCTTTTGAAAACGGTTATCATTTTAACCTGTTTTAAAGCACTAAATAGGCCTTGGGCTGTTTAATTTTGCCTGCCTTCGTGAATTATGGCTTTTTCTGACAGGCATAAGGTTCTGTATATAACCCGTGATGAGGCTTCAAGCCCATTAGGTTTAGAAGAATATTATGATATTGATAAAATTTTTGCAAAACCTGGATTTAAAACTCGTAATGGCCAGTTCAATTGGAGTTGCAGCTGTGTAGCAAGCTACATAACCAGCCCATGTGGGTTTTATTTTCGCAAATTCCTGTCCAACATGGATCGTTTCATGAACACCGAGGACTCCATAAACGACGTGGAAGCCAAACGAGTTTTTGATAAATGCTACTCTGAACTTGGCAACTGCATGCAGAAATACCCCAAATACTACCGTCCAATCCTAGAACAGTTTGAGGAGTCCCTCAGTGACGTCTTTCGCGATAGCTTGGAAAGTAGCAAGTAAACCACCTCTAATTATTAGCTAGATTCTGTACATTAGCTTCTTTGTATGCAATATAATCCTGCTTTTAATGTCTATACATTTCTATTTCTTAAGAGAGAAGGCATTCGTTCCTGAGATTTTTAGTTTCGGCATAAACCGTACAAAAGCTGCTCGAACTAAGCTGCAAAATTAAGTGAACAGTGAGTGAGAGACAACTGAAGACTGGTACGTGTTCACCGGAGGACAATTCCCTTGATGTTATATGCTTGCTTTCTTTTTTCTTAAGTTTCCGAAGGTGGGAGAGTTAGATACATGCGAAAGATATAGTGGGAAGATACAAAAAATATTTCCGCTGAACAAAGAATTAAATTGAGGTTGGGAGGTAGGGGATGAGCGAAATGAAAGGCCACAAGCTAAGAAATAAATTAGAGGGGTGGGATGGCAATGAATATTGACCGTCTGTGTTTGTGGGATTTTGTTCGAAGTTGTATTTACAGAATACGAGAGCTTTGATTATTCCGGAATGCAATCTCTCGTAAACTGGTATTTTCAGTGTTTGTTCGAAACTCACCGCAGGAGGAGGGGAGAAGGAAAATTGGTTCGAACTGGTTTGTTTAGGTTTGGTTTTCTTTTTTATGGAATCCTAATTACTTCGACGATGAACGAGTGAAGCGCTTTCCCTCTGTGCTGATTACTAACATTGGCCGATGATTAAAGAGGAATTCCCAGCTTTGAATAAAATCGAAGCCATATAGCGTTAGTCGGGTTAGTCTAGAATAGAAGGAAGCACGTTAAAAGCCCAGATATACCATTTATTGTAACTCTTCTCAAGGGCATGATCGACAATACAAAATTGCTTAAGGGGAAAAGCCTATCATGATTGTAAAAATTGCACACTTCGTTCTCACACAGTCCTTTGTATGGTTTTATGAAAACTGAGTTTGGTAAAAAGTATAACATCTCTTCAAAGATGAATAGGATCGTGAAGCCTCTCTAATTAGAAACTCGTCTTCCTATCCATATATGGGGACGTGTACAAGCAAGTACCGCCTTGGCAAACGTGTAAGTTGGCCCCTACGTCACCGTCAAAGATATAAAACTAGAGATGATACTAATTTATTATTCAAACGGGGGTTCTTCTTCTTATGCAAAAAAGTAAGGAGACACCTCCACATTGTCTATATGCACTGAAAAAACATGACCAATTAAGCGAATGTAGGTATTCGTGCAAGGATTGAACCTGAGTCACGATACGTCCAGGGATTAAGTCAAGACGACTGTAATACGCAACCCTTATTTACTTGCATTCTTCTAAGGGATGCTATGCAATCAAGTCAAGAGTAGATTTTCGAGGCACTATCGTTTATGGAAAAAAGCCAAGAATTATTTTAGCCCGTGAATAGAAAACCTTGATAAGTGAAATATTCAAGCAAATAAGGTTGTGAAATTTTCAGCAAAAAAGAGGAAACATGATTTAAATGGGATGTTAATGAGAAGATGAAACTCACTTTGGGCAGGATTTAACCAGCGTCTCAATGGCTTCTGCTGTGATGTCAGGCTTGTGATTAATCCGCAAGGACTTGAGACTTGTAGTTGGAGCCTCCGAAAGATATTTAAGTCTGTGAAGATAAAGAGTTGAAAAGCTATTTGGGGTTGAGGGGAGAATATCAGAATAGAGTATTTCAATCACTGCATGAAAAAAGCACCTTCATCAAAAGGTATGAAAGCATTGTTGTTAGTTCTACACAATTGACCACTTATATAAACTAACTGATAAACGTAGATTTTGCGTGAAAACTGTCATGCTGGATTGCCCGATCTCGGGTTGTTTAGCCTAAACATACTCCCAAAGAAAATCAATTTTATTTTAATCTCTAACAAATTAATAGCCCCAACAAGCACAAATTCGATCCACTCTCAATGGCCTGATTTCGATGCTACCACCTACCTTTTGGAGTCCTTTTCTTAACAACGAAATCGGCTTTACGCAGTTTTGGAATTACTCGAGTCATTAGCTAGGGTCGGAGGAAATAAGTTAGGCCACGTAAGGTTAGGCTGCAAAATTAAGTGGAATTAAAGTTGGGGGAAAAAGCTATGCCAAGTATTACGCCCTAAGACGGCCTAAAGCAGTACTGGCTAGTGTGCAGAGGACAAAATTTCTGGCAATTCAGGTGAAAAATAGAGTAATTGAGATGCACAAAGTGGGATGTCAAACACAGAACTGATCTTTGATTCTTCACACCATTTCCACTTCTAGCCTGATTAGGAGCTGCTATCAGCAGAAGAAGATTGGTTATACTTACAGCAATGTCTTGAAGAATACCACCCCCCTCACCCTCCCCAACAAACCACATGGGGGGAAACATCCTGAAGCACGGTTTCCGAAGTATATGAAAATCCGACTTTGGGAGAAAAGTACGAGCGGATAGGATGGGTTTGGAGTACAAAAGGAAAAAAAAGTATAAAAACCACTAGGGCACTGTGGCTGATTATTAAAGGTTACCCAAGGTCAGATAGAATAACCTTAGAAACTTGATTTTAGCGACATTCGCAATCAAACGGGTAATACAGATCGGGATGAGGTACTATTATGAGGCGAACTTGGGGTTATTTCAACCTGAAAATCCACTAAAAATTCTTATTGCTTACTAATCACTGTATGACATTTGCGTTAATTTGCAAAAGCGAAAGTTATATACCACATGAGGGGTTTACTACACGGATCTGATCTATTAAAAAATAGCCATATTAAAAATATGAGTAAAGCGAAAGGAAATCGTGCAGAATGAAGGATAGCTAGGAGGCATTACATGACCAATGAACTGAACTAAAGGTTACTTTCACTGACACAAGGTCATAGCTTTTATGTGAAAAATGTTTATTTAATGAGTTTACCATGCATCAAATAAGGTGGTTCTTCGAACACCTTGTATAAAAAAACCTTAAAGTCTTTATTGGAGAAAATAGTCTTACATTCTCTTGACAATTATTTAATAAATGTGGTCTTTCGGGCGTTCAATAAGTAGGGAACACATGACCCAAACTATTTTGGCATTTACACTGACCACTACGCAAATGGAAAATATAATAATCATATGATAATACAATGAAGTAGGCATTTGAAAGTTTTTAACCAACTCACCCAACTTCAGTGACAGAAGTGGCTGAGATATCTAGTTCCTCTAGTAGTGGACAGCTGGTAGCGAGGGCACGCACAGTGCCATCCCCCACAACCACAAGGCCACAGAGGTCAAGGACACGCAAGCGGGGCAGTTGGTGGAGCATCTTGATTACTCCCTCTTCCCCAGTGAGGGAGGTTGAGTTGGCCAGCACTATCTCCTCCAAGAGGGGACACTCTGATGCTAGACGAGAGAGGGTCGCGTCCGTCACTAATTTCTGAGTTCCTCGAAGATCAAGTGAGCAGAGGCGCGGTAACTGCAGGTGAACAAGTCAATAGCAGAGGTTAAATTGTAATATGTAAAGGGAAACAATATCAAAATTTAAAATGGTCCCCTTGGTTCTCCTTTTTTAATTTTATATTCCGACTCTTGAGAGAAGGGCATTTGGTGATAAATCTTAAATAAAAAAATGATCAGAAAAAAGTGAGGAAATTTTGTAGCTCCTGTGAACTAGAGACGTAATGTCAATGGCATTATCTAGTAAAATTGACATAATAGACTCATTTAGTAATTTATAAGTAATGTAAACTCGAAGGATAAGGTACAGTATAAGGCATGACAAGATCACGACCAATCATAATGCAGAAACACATAAACGGACGTGTATTCGATGACTCGTTGTGACCTGAATGATCCATCCAGTGTGATACTTGAGCGACGGCAATTATGGGCAAGTATTTACTCGTAGGAATTCCACAATCTACTGACTTTTATTCAATGAGCATGCTCCTCTAAAGGGACCAGAAGTGACCTAGGACATTAAATTCTTCTCAAGATACTTACTCACCTTAATTGAACTAGAACATCTCTTCCCCTTTCTATCTGAAATGTGGGCTCTAGTGCCTCACTTTATATAAGCGTCTCTCCGCTTTCCTCCACAGAGTTTCTGATTCTCCACAACTCACCCATCTTAGCACTCACTTATCACTCCTCTCAAACTCACTGAGGTGATAATTGTAATAACAGGAATAGTAGTAACTTTGACAAATTCCACCCTCCAATCTCCTTCTTCTATAGACTTGTGCACAAGCCTTCAATACTCACTGGTTCCCAGCCACTTAAACACTGTTCAGATCATTTTAATTATTCGTTGCGTGGTATTAAAAGCCTAATATGTCATATGAGTATCATTGATAAAGGCTTAAAAAGTTAGAAACTACCGGACCAATGCTCAATGCATATCCAGTGATTTGGATGACCACTCGCGCTAGTCAATTCAGGTTAACAAGGACAGTAGGATGAGAGTTTCCTACAATAACGATTCCAAAGTATCCTCCTCCAACCCAAACGCATAATGAATTTGGAAAGTTAATGAAAGCTAATTACATGCAAAAAATATGTAGTATATAATGACATGACTAGAGAAACCTATTTTAGCACTTGATTAATTAAACTATTCATGTTCTACTACTACTTTAATTATATGACTGAAAAAAACACTCTAACTTTTGGAAATAGTTCAAGAATTTTAATGAGCAAATACACTTAATTAAGTAAACATTAAAATATCATTAAATTAACACAGAAATGCTTTTAAAATAACCGCTGTTTGGAAAAATTGAACAAGTGTGATCAACTTTTCCCACAGTAAATTCCCACAGTGTGCACATAAAGATCACACAATTTTCAGCACAAAGAAAATAAGTTTTGTGTGAGGATACACAAACACACTGTGGATACTGCTGATCATGCTCGATTCCGAAAAGGCAATGAATGTGTAGAATACCTAGATTGTAAAAAATAAATAGGAAGCAAGACTGCAGAAGATGATGTGATTAAGCACACTCTTCTAGGTATCTGTTAAAATATGGTTATTGACCAAATATTGTTTTCTAACCAACCAATGAGACAGATGAATCATGAAGGTCATTTAATCAATTTAATTATTACTAAAACATCGCTAGGAACACTTTAAACGTAGAGTTCGCAGCAGAATAGAATTAGAACTCTACACTATTTAACTGGAGTGTACACTTTATTAAAATATTGATTGCAAAGCCTGGGCTGACCAAACCTCAACCCCAGGGCCACTAAACTCCCGAATCCAGCGTTCAGTTATTTCGAAGATGAAAGGAACTGACAAAAAGTGACAGCCTTCCAGTAAAAAAAAATTTTGCGTTTATAACTTCAAAAGAAAGTGTCAGATGCAGTGAATGCAGTCAGTGTACTTTTTCATTTTAAAACGCAATTAATTGGAGTTGACAATGCATATGCATGAGATATCATGAGATATGCTAAGAAATATATGAAGTTTTAGTTAGTTGACAATTGGTACAAGGTTAATTAAGAGCGTAGTTAAGGGCTTATAGTTACCAGATTAATTTAATTACACATATATTGCTTGGTGGCGCTTAGAGCATATTTGAATTTTGAAAATTTTTAGAGGTTTTGTTGTTACCTGTCACTTCAATCGTTGAATGTGCACCAACATTTCTCTTGTAACCATCAATTGACGATACGTGATGAAAAACGTGACGTTCCACAGAGAAGATTAAGAGTCACCATTGAATCTCCTAAAACTTGCCATAATACCCATTTAGCGCTTTCTGCTTTTAAATGACGTATTTCAAAAGCATCAAGCTATAAGCCAAAACAACTGGGAAGACAAGTTTTGCTGGACTCTCAGTTCCATAAGGCGGGGGGGGGGGGGGGGGGGGGGATGAGTTAATAGACCGTCCACCACAAAAAATAGCAAATAGCCGATTGAACTCAACAAATGAGCTCAATAAAGAGAATATGATAAAATGTAGACATTGGAGGTCGTTTATCGGTAATTAATGAGACTAATCATAGAATCAACCAATGGGATAGGGCGGGGAATATTTGCATTTAATATAGAAAAAAGTAGACGCATGGTTCACCTTAAGGAACTTGAAATATGATGCGATTAAAACCAATAAATTTGAATGAAAAGTGAAAATAACAAGAGATGAAGCGTGAAATAACAATAGTAGCGAAGTAAAGATAGAGGTAAATACTTTGCAGCTACTTTGAGTTATATAATTATGCTTTCTGTCAATTTAAAAATGATAGAACTTTTAAATTTGAAATAAACCATTAAATTTTATTAGATAAAGGACATTTTTTCTTTACTTGTTAGAACAATGAGCTAAAATTAATGAGAAAGATGTTGTTTAGTAACTCAAAGTGTTTTGCTCTTTTATTACTTTTTACACCAAATTCATAGCGGGGTTGTGAAGTGGACCATGTACGATAAGGTTAGTGGGAGGAGGAGGGGGGGGGGGGTTAGCACCACTGGCCAAACCAAACGCTTATTAAATTAAAAAAAGCATTAAGTTTTTTTTTCAAAAAAAGGATAAAAACTGCAAGAGCAATGGGACAGAGTCGCAAATGCCGGTGAAAATTATATCAAATAGTATCATAAACATAATTCAAGAATAAAAAACATTTTTAAGTGTTTTTCTAAAACGCTCGATTTATTGGTGGTACCCCAATATATTAACCGCTTTATCGCCCAAATTAATTGCAGGGAAAATATTACCCAAACAACAGAATTTCAACCTTCTTTAAAATGAGTTCAACTTAGTACTACTGAAGTGTAAATTACATTGGTGACACAGCTTTATCCTGAAAACCAACACATAAAGATGAAAATTATAGTTTGAAGGTAAAGCAATCATTTTGAAGTGCCAATAAGTCCAATGCTCTTATAATACGTTTCAATCAATGCCAATAGAAACATATGGATCACTATGGCTGGGAGTATATTAGACAAAATTGACGGAAATCTCTGTCAATGAAGATTGGATGGCCATTACCACTTAGGAAACTTCAGAAATACACTTTCTTTAGTCGCGATCAAAGTTGAGCCAGCTCTCGAAATAGAAAATTAGAAAAAGACTAATAAAGACGGGCATTTAGTGAAGGTGACTATAGACTTTCAAAACAGCTGAGGAGGAATGCTCCCACATTCTGCTATCCTACTTAAGTACAACATTAAAAGCATTGCATTTCCCTGCAATGCTAGCTTGGAGGTGTAACCGCATTAGTAGAAGCATTTTGTAGAGGTGAAACGTACTTTAGAGAAGAGCTCCAAGAGACCGTTGGCAGAGAGGTGATGTAAAAATCCGAAAGCCAGAGCCCGCAAACCCCTGCACTCCCCCAGGGTAGTGAATATCCTGGAATTCAAGTGGAAGCATCCAAAGAGTTCCAGTCGTTCCTTAAAATGGAGAGAAAGCCAATTTAATGGAAGATGAATCAACAGAATATTTGGCGGAAAAGGTTAAATTCTAATGCATTGTTAAAGGACCTTTAAATGTCTATTATTGACTGTTATTTTGAAAGATTCAAGTAAAATGGCCCTATTCAGATTCAAGGTTATTTTTACGCATGTGTACTTTTAATACAGAATTCTAATTTTACTGCATACCAATTTTCTCCACATAAATAGTCAATGAATATTTGACACACTTAGTTAAATACTTAAATTGGAATTGAGCAAGCATTTTGAGGAACGTGATGGTGTTCAATTTATGAAAAATTACGTAATTCGCTTAATTCTACAAGACTAATTACATAAATGAATATTAAACCAAATCTGTTTTTAAGTTAAATTTGACATTAAGGTGAATTATGCCCAAAAATGATTAGTTACCCCAGCTTTTAGAGATTGCTGTTAATCAGTGAGAGCAGTCATTATATATGTAAGATCGATTCCAGCATACTGATGAAGTTGATACTTCAAATATAAATCTCGTGATGACTTAAACCGGATAAAATAAAGATCCATTAGTAGAGAAAGAGAAATACAGTTTCCTCGGAAAAAATAAAGTAAAACACGATTGGATTATTTAACCGAAAGCCCCCTCGATCCACATTGGTTAATATATAGATATATAGCAAAGACATGGGGATGTGGCATTTATTAGAAAAGCAGCTTGTCTACAATTCGAAAGCCAGCTTTCAAATACATGAAGAAAAAACCTAAGCCCTCAAAATGCCTGTAATGAAGTTAACAATAGAAAGTTGACAAGTTGCCGAGAAATGTGGAATTTCTGGCCCCAGCAGCTGCTCTCTCTCTCTCTCTCTCTGAGAAAACCGACAATAGCTGGCATTGTACGCATGAAATAAATGGCTTATCAAAAGCAGCCTTACTATTCTCTCTATTCAAGTGACTTGTACTAAAGAAATCGATACATAGCGATGATCCTCTCCACATTTTACCGATTTGACTTTAAAATATATAAGCCAAGATTTCATGAAAATTTAACCTGTGCACAAACACGTTATTAATCATATGCACAAAATTAGAATCACGTTTAACCTTAACGGCTGAAAAATCAGGGTATCAGTTCCTGGAAAGTGGATCTTATGAGCGCAAGTCTCCAGATAAATAGCCTTTTTTAGAACTAACTGCATGTTTTGCGACCTAAGTCCATAAGAACGTCAATACGATCAGTTAGTTGATAGTGGAAATACACCCAAGTCAAATTGAAAAATTATGGCCAAATTTGGCTTTTAGGTAAACATAAGTTTGCAATAATCACAGCGAACATTAATAATCGAAACTGAGCCTTAATTTACAAAACTCAAAGACAAAGACACGACAAATTTATGCAAATTAGCCAAACACCGTAGACAGTCATGGCAACTACACACTATCACGACCTTGGGCGTGCTTAAGCATTTATATGCGTGGATATAAGTGTGTGTGGTGTGTTTGCACCTAAACACAACATACATCCAAAACAAATTGCATTGATTTAAGAACTTGATACAAAGTCATGGAAGTTCGGGAATCAGTGTAATGGAGATGAGAACCAATAAAAGGTACTATTAAATAAATAAAGATTTCAAGAATGGGTTAAATCACTTCAAAGAGCATTCAGATTAGAAGCTTATGCAAACAATCTTCAGAAGAAATATGCTAAGCAATAAAAAGCACAAAAATGTCATTTTTTGTCAACAAAAAATCAGCTCGCCTTAAGTAATGAGGAAACATACGAAAGTAAACTCAAAAGTCCGCACTCAGTATGAATATGAAGGTACCAACACTTGAATGAATGATACATGGATTGAGAGAAATTGTCTCGATATAGCGGCGATTGTGTCTAGCATAAATGGTATTGAGAGAATCATGAAGCATTGCTTTCTTTTACTTTCTGACCCCCTTGCATACATCAATGCTAGGAAAAGTATCAATAAAATTGAAACAAATAAGTCTCGGTTTAACTGTAAGATCAAGCTAAATACATTTGAAGAAGATATAACATTACATGTAAGAGAAATAAATAAATTTCGTACACAAAGATGTCGGTGGAGGGAAAATCACATCACGGGGAAGGAAATCAATACGTTCTTAATTAAACTGGTAAAATCTACGATGAAGAAAGTGCTTCCTAACGCTCATCTTGAGTGGATAAATGATGCCCTGATCAAATAAAGATACATTCTTCCATCTCAACTCTTCAAACCAGTAATAGCATACGACTGAGAGTTTCAGCTTATGAATGTGCATCGATTAATTTCGACTCTGCAACATTGTTTACTCCAAAGTCGATCATCTGAAAAGAATTTGACAAAGCCTAATTCATTTTTATCCCACATGACAACTTTAAGAGATTAACCAATAATGACGATTGAGCAGTGTGAGTGCTGTGAGCATTAGTAGCTCAGTCGTCACCATCCAAGATCAAGCCAACAATCAAGAGACCGATACTTATTAGTGAGCATTTGGGAATGAGGAAGATCAACCCTACTGGTTAATTTAGGTCAACAACGGAGAGTTGGACAAAGGCAAGTTTTTTATAAGAACTAGTTCAAATGACTTGTAGCTACCCAAGGCTGATAGCTTCAATCCCAGTTCCTATTGGCCATAGGAATACTTGGTTGAGGTAATTAAGACAAGCTAGAACCCTTCTAACTTACCAAGGTTGTTTTATGTCTCCTCACAACATGTTCGATAGCTGAATTCGAGATAAGTTGAGCACCATTGAGCAGAAGAGACTTGAGAGCTTTGGAACCCCTTGAAATTGCACGAACAGTCTGATCGCGCACAGATTGGACGTAACTAGCATCAATGTAGTGGAGATTTGGACACCGTCTAGCCGATACCATCAATGGATAATCACCTTGAAATGCACCTTTGTAACAACCGACGAAAGAGAGGGATTCCAGACCCTTGCCACATGCTCTGAATAGCCGATCAACACCTAGAGTAAAAATAAGAGGAGGGGGGGGGGGTAGCAGTTTAGTTAAAAGCGAGCAAGGAAGAAGTTAATTTCTTATCAAACTTTGTTTTGACGTGGAGAAATGTGGCACAATATACAAATATTTCCGTCTGCTAATAAATTCGTACACAGCACACTACTCGGACATTCGGACGCATGGCTAAATATCTGCGAGGAAAGGGTTTGAGGAAAGAGTAGGGAGATACGGCATATGGAATTCTGAATTTTTGACTCTATCTTCTATCAATTTGGGAGAATGTACCGCTTATTTAATGAAAAATTTTTAAAGTTGAATTGATACGGTCTTCAAAATCGTCGACATTTATAAAAATTAGACCAAACAGGAATGATGTACTGGATGAAGTTTTCCATTGTTGCACTCCCAGCCCCCTGCCCCCAAACCAAAAATAACCGTAACGATGAACCACCATAATTACTGAAAATTCACGGTTTTATTGCAAAATGCCCAGAACTCAAATTAGCAATATTTGTTTGTACCGCGTCCACAACCTGTATAAGTAAGATCCTCTTTCGACACTTTTCATCAATGGGAAAAAAGAATGCTTACCTCCTTCAGTTACACCCTCTCCACTGCAGTATTCAAAGTGCAAATGCTTCGGTTTCTTTCGACCAATTTGCATGAGAGCGGTATCCGAGAGGTGTTGATAGCGTTCAAGACGAATGGTACGCCAATTAACACGATTTGCCACGATCATGCTTAGCCTACGACAAGTCAAGGCAAGGGCAGAACGGTCCGAATAAGACAGATGGCGAACTACACCATACCACCATTCAGATGGCATATTTTGCCAAGAAGGGCCCGTCTCTTCGGGGGCTCCCTTAGGGGGAAAAACAGAGAACAAATAAGATAATACAGTGACAAATAGATTAACTACGATCAATTCCATTTTCAATATTTATTCCCACTTATTTCTCATTCTTTCTTTTATTGCTTTTGTCTAATGCACCTAAGAGAGAGAGAACGACATTCGGATTTCTGATTTGAAAACAGGTACAATATTCTCATTTTATTTAAGTGTGTGGGGAAATAACAAATTGGAGCATTAGAATTTTGTGAAATTTTAAGATTCGAGAACGATTAATCACAAAGAAAACAATCATAAATAAATTTCAGTTATACGTGACTAAATTTAAAAAAAACAAGCGAAAGTCAGTATATTAATGACAACTTTCAATCTTTAACAAAAAGAGTTCCAATTTTAAGCATATAAACTTATTTAACCAATACAAGTTAGCCTTAATGTAAAAGGCCCATTTAGGTTGTTACGCTTGTCGAAGGGTGGTTACTAAGGCAAAAAATCCTAAACATTTTGAATTCAGTCCAGTATTTTAAGGGATATAACGAGCTTCATTTGACTTAATTTTTAAACAGATAGTGGAAAAAATGAAAACGATTACACTCTTTAATATATTCGTGGCTAGAATAAATAAAAGTGTACTTCACACCCTCCTCAATTGATAACGCTACAAATTAGTAATACTTTTTCTCTTGAAAATAGGAAAGAACTCGAGCTATCGATTAAATAATTACTACTTTAGCAAAGCTTACCTCAGTTGATGTCTGGGAGGGCTGGAAGGGTTTTACATCAGCGGAAAAATCGATCAGCGAAACACAATCCTGGTTGTTCTCTTGGACTACAGTGCTAACTGGCCTAAAAGTAAGATATATAAAAATAGAAGTTCGATGTGAAAACAAAGGCGGTTCTGCACATTGACTTACTGCAGATGCTTAGGAGCTTTTTGTTTTCTTTTATTCCACTTTACTCTATTATTGCATCTGCTAATTGGCCCACTAGTTCTAAAGCCATTAGTATGTCTCTGATTTGGAGACTGCGTGCTATTCATTTCGTCCATATTCTGTTGACGAAGCGTTTCGGTTCTGCAATCTTTAAGTAATTCCGAAATTTGGCTAACACCATGTTTGGATTGGTGGCCATTTTCAATAAAGACCAAATTTGTTTGGTTTTGTTGGCCAGGTTGCATGACCATAGGATCGATATTAACGAAATTGATGTAATCTAGCTGATTTGGTTCATTGATTTCTGCTTCGGAGAAGAAAGGACTTGAGAAAGAAAAGTTGTTCCAATAAAGATTTCGCAAGTACTGATCCATTCTATAAGCCCCATCGCAAGGTCCAGAAATGCAGCGTTGCCTCGAAGGGCGCTGAAAATTTAATCCCAAGGAAGGATTGCTTTGCACGTATGGGAAGTGATTATCTGCAAACAGGTTCGATCGACTAGAAGAAACTTGGGATTGCAACGGATAACTTTCCACATCTAATAAGCTTGACATGCTATGCGTGAAAATTTCAGAGGCACACATTCTATTCAGTGATGAATGGGAGAAATGATCTGAATTTACGAGAGAAATTTGATTTTCATCATTTTGTAAAGGAGAATGAGCTGAAGATTCATATGGTTGGTAGTTTTGTGGCAAGTAAAAAGACGATGAAGAATTAGTTGGGATAGAATCACTACCTATCAGTAGATTTCCACAAAAAGCGCACCAATTTAGGCATTTTGAGTTCTGGTAATTACACCTGGGACATATAGAAAATACAGTTGATGTTAAAGTTGGTGGGTTGGACGATTGCATTATACAATTACATAAAAGTTGAATTGCTTGTCTGTAATATAAGACTCCCCAATAAATCCAATTTCTGCAAAATAAAGAAAAAGTGGCGGATCCAGATTTATCAATATAGATGAGAAATACTGAAAGCCGACTATGAACAACCGCTAAACAGAAACTATATGAACCAATGAAAATCCTGCGAATTCACTAATTAACCTTAATTGATGAGTTAAAAACAAAGGGTATGCATTTGATAATTTATTATTTTTAATTGTTGGACCATTAATCTGATTTAACTTATTTTTTTAAATTAAAATTGATTCAAATATAATACTATTAAAATCAATGATTGATAAAATTGTCTAGCATGTATAATCGAATAAAAGTAAATAGCATAAAAATCTGAAAGTGGCATGTAATTTGCATTTTGGTGGTGTGAAATACGTAGCACAGACCTCCTAAGCTAGAATTGTTCATTGAGATTTCAATCTGTATCACTTGAAGTCATTTGTTTCAGGCAAATTTTTATCTAATTCGATTTATCAAATTTAAATTTAAACTTAACTATAGAGTTAAAGTGGGTTTATTTCAGGCTTTCAAAAGCTATGTCATAATAATCACTCAACCAATTATCATGGAACCCATGAATTTTGCAATTTTCTTTAGAGAATTTCTGGTTCCTACGTAACACTTTAGCTTGACTCCCATTTTCTCACTATAAGGTCTATTATTTTTTGCCGCTCCAGATTTGATTCTTAATTCCAAAAAAATTTGACTGTTACGGAAGGTTGAACAGAAATAAATGATTTAACATTTATTTTATTTCCTATGCATCTAAACAGATCATGTGTAAATTTAATTCTTGTATTTCGGAATCGAAAGGTTCCGACAAGAGCGAAAACGCCGTCTACTGAATTTAACTTACGTCACATGAAGGATTTTTCTCTTCTTTAGATAAATGTCCTCTCATTAAGCTGGCATTAATCATCAGTATATCAGAACAGCTATAATATTGCTAGTGATTTGACTTATTTTGTTTATGCGGCGCGTTCTGCATTAAGCTGGCTCATGTTCGTGTGACAAAGCCGATTCACCCAATAAAGTTGTGAATATCAAATCAAACCTAAGTATTGTTCATAAAATTTTTGCCTTGAGGATACCGAATTTATTACTTATTCATTATTTCCTTAAAATTTCAATTACAGCCAATCCAATAACGCAGTAAAATGAACTGGCTTAGATTCACTAGAATTAGAATAGAATTTTGAAGTTCAGTGCTCCTTAGTCAGGCCACTGACTAATTTAAGACATTTAATGATACGATTCCTTTGATAAGATTCTATGTTTAACATAGAAGGGGTGTGCGATAGACTTACCTCCACGTGGTGCACCCTGGGCAACGTATATTCATACGGCAAAAAGTCTATTAACTGGCAGTTGACTTCTCACTTCAAAGTACCACCACCTCACTCTATGTCATATTCGACTACTTTCACAGTACTCACCTCACCTTTGTTCTACCTTTGTGTTTGTCTCTTACATCTTTGAAACATTCTTCTGTTCTGTTTGATGTTCCTTCCCATCTGTGAAGCCTGAAGTCAACTAAAGGGCTAATGATAACCATCAAGACGTCTGCCATTTGATATAAATAGATGCTTAACATAGAATCACATCAGTGGATTCTTTGATATTGGTATTGAATTCATGCAATTTGTCCAGCGGACAAGAACCGTTGTAAGAATACTTTAACAATGGATTGCTACGCTAATTAGCCTTGACATATCCTCGATAATCTCTATGACAGAATATCCTAGTAATGATAGGATCTCAAAATGAGATAAGCCATCCCAATGATGTTTATTTATTTCAAATGGGAGGCTTTATGATAGTTATCATTAGCCCTTTA